AAAAACCTTTACCTTATAAACCCTTTTAAAAACAACTTAAAAACCTTTTAAAACTTGTAAAAATGATTTAAAATCTTTTAAAACATTATAAAATATTTGTATCAAACTTCCAAGTAGTAGTTCTTATATAGAAGTACCTTATAAACCATATAAAACTTTATAATTTTTCATATTTAAACATGGATATTTTTGAAAATGGATAGATAGAGGAGGTATTTTTGAATAAGGGTACACAAAAAGGAGTATTTCTCAAAAATTCTCTTTAATTTTTTATAATTATTTTTTAATGTTGTTAAAAATTCTATTTTTATCTTCATATTAACAAAATTAGATATAAAATGTTGCGACATCTTATGTTTTTACTTGACACTTATCATGATCACGTGAGTTAGTAAATTTAAAAACCATGTTTCGACATATAATCTCGTTTAATTGTTAAACTTAAACCATAATTTTAATTTATAAAGATAAACCATAATTTTTATTTATTATTTATATACCCAAACCAACAAATAACCTGATTTAATTGTAAAATTAAAGTTGAAACCTTAATCCTCTTATGTAAACAAAAACCGCCGTATATTCTTGTTAATTATAAATTATAAATCCCTATCTTATTAATAAACCAAATGGACATAACTGAAATTAGGTTATTTGTTTAATTTATTAATAATTTTTAATATATAATTCTTTATAATATTTATTTTATATATTTTCTTTTTCGATAGGGTTAATAATATTTCTATTTTATCCAAATATTAACAAAATTAGTTACGACACGTGTCAATATCTTATAGTTTATAATTGACACGTGTCACGATCTTGTTAATGGCTAACTTTGAAAACCAAGGTTTATAAAATAAAAATTAAAAAAATAACATAATTTCAGTTATGCCAATTTGGTTTATTAATAGGATAAGGATTTAAAATTTATAATTAAAAGAGAATATATGTCGGTTTTTGTTTACATAAGAGGATTAAGGTTTAAACTTTAATTTTACAATTAAAACAGGTTATTTGTTGGTTTGGGTATATAAATGATAAATGAGAATTATGGTTTATTTTTGTAAATAAAAATTATGGTTTAAGTTTAATAATTAAATGAGATTATATGTTGAAACTTGGTTTTTAAATTTACTAACTTACGTGATCATGATAAGTGTCAAGTAAAACATAAGATGTCGCAACATGTTATATCTAATTTTGTTAATATTAAGATAAAATAGAATTTTAAAAAAACATTAAAAATAAAATAATTATATATTCAAATTTTTTATCAAAAAAAAATTAATTATCAACCTAATTTTTCGTTTTGCCGGTTGAGATTTAACAAAGAGATTAGGGTTTACGACTAAACAATATTATATGTTTTTTTGCCTATTGATATATCATGGTTTTACGGGTTTTTGGCCATGATATAAGTCTTATTTATAGAGCTTTTCTAGTGTTTTCGAGTCTTTTTGAGTCATTTCAGGATTAGGAACTATTTGGCATGGATTGGAGCTTTTTGGAGCATTTGGGAGCATTTGGAGAAGATGTGCCGAAGGAATGTACCGGGAAAGCATATTTGGTGTGAGTGTCGAGCGTCACAACTTCTGGTGTCGATCGACACCAATATCTGACGGCAATTGAATTTCTCGCTTAATTGAAGTTCAGAAGATTTGCAGATTCGGCCCACAAGTTTCCCTATTTGCAATTAAGCCCAGTTCGTGGTTAAGACATATATATTGAGTTTTTAGGGTTTTGTTAAGACGGAGGCTTTATTTTGGAGAGAGAGATTTGTAGAGAGTCAAGAGAGAAGAATCAAAACCTCCTTCAGAGAAGATTCAGAACTCCTTTACTTCTTCTATTACTTTCTTTTATGATATCTATTTTATTCATGATGTTTGTTTCATTCACCATGTCTGAGTAGATCTCTTGTTAGGTTTAGGGTTTTCAAAGGAATTCATGAATTGTTAGGTTGTTAGATTGTTAGGATTGAATTAATAGGGTTCTTCATCTAGATTGTGGTTAATTTGTTCTAGAGTAGTGAAAGCAATCTAGAATCTGATCTTAGGTTAATTGGTAGACACGAAAGTGTTATTGATTTCCTGAAAATAATCTAGATGAGCAAAATATCTATTCGCAAAGAGATTTGGTTTAGGGATTTTGTGAACTTATCAAATCTGAATTAAATGCATGTCTTAAACTTATAAATTTGCAAAGACATAGATAGTCTTTGCAACGAAAGTCTTTGCAACGAAAGTTGACTGATTATAATTTTGTGATTTGAGTTCAAGAACGGTGCTTTATAAATCTTGACAATTATTTATTTGCAATTCTGAATTTCCTGAGAATATCCCTAGGCCTAGTGTTTCCTCATTACTGTTTAAAAACCAATCTTTGTTTTAATTTGCTGTTTTTTATTTGATTTAAAACCTGCTTGCTTAACTTAATTTTAATACCGAATATTTACTGTGTAATCTTTGAGTCTCTGTGGATTCGATCTCTAAGTACTACAGTGATCTCTTAATTGAGAGAGTAGCTCAGGGCAAATTTGAGCCGATCACCTATAAATAAGGATTAAGACTTAGGTTTTACAATTATTAGGGTTATATGTTAGTTTGGGTTTATAAATGCGTATTAATGTTTATATTTTATAATTAAACAAGATTATTTATCGGTTTAGGTTTATAAAAGAGGAGTGGGATTTAGTTTTTTACAATGAAACAAGGTTATTTATCAGTTTGGGTTCATAAAGGAAAATTAGGATTTACATTTTACAAATAAAATAGATTATGATTTTAACTAAATAAATATTTTTATTCATGATTTTATGATATGTTATATTTTTTAATTTTTAATTTATGTGTGAATGTTTATGCCCTTGAGCAATTTCATTGTCTAAATCATAAGGGTAAATAAAAGATTTTCGAAAATAATTTTTTTAGCTTAAATTAAATACAACAAAAGTTCAATATAATTCGTAATATAGTAATTTTAAAATATTTTCCAAAACATATGTAGTTTTCATAATTCGTATTTGAAAGATTTTTATTTTTTTCCTTAACGATGCTATATTTATTTTAAATTCTTTATGTTTATTTGCGTTGTTTATATAAACTTAATTACAAATGACTATATATGTATGTAACATCATATTTAGATTCTATATATATAATAGGAGAATACTCTCTCTCCATTTAGAGTGTCCACCTAAGCATCTACATAAACAATATTATTTATTTTATATTAAATAAAAAAAATGAAATATTCATTTAATGCATTCTATGTTATTTGTAAATAATAAAATGAGATTATAGATAAATAAAAAACGAATTTTATATAATTTTAACATAGAATTTCTTTTCATGGTAATAAATAAAAATTAAAAACAAAATAAATAAAATATAATAAAATTAAAAATAGTAATAGTTTAAAACCAATACTATGAAAATTGCATTTGTAATAATAATATGATCCAAAATCTTAACAGAAAAACCATCCCCTATATAGTAAAAGAGAAGTACACTTTTCTTTCAAAAAAAAAAAAACGAAATTACCAAAATAACAACATCCTAACCTTTTCTTTTCATTGTCATTAAGGGTAGACATGTATTTTAAACATAAACGGATCGGGTCAATTGAACAATTTAAACCCGAAATTGATAATCGGATCTTTATCAAATGGATGAACCTAATTTGACGGTTACTATCCGCTACATTAAATGCAAATAACGTTGATACCTTAAAAAATAAACTTGCAAGGAAAGCAAAACATAATCTTACTCTGTTATTGGTTTAAAAAATCGAAAATGCCATATCAATAATCCCACAAATGTCGTGTTATTTTAGATTTCCAAATTTGAAACTAAAGATTTTTAGAAAGTTGATAAACACCAATACTAACGAATATATGGATTTCATAATCGAATATACCTTATTATTCTCCAGATTTTTAACCTAAATGCTAGCCTTCTCTCGATTATTATATATAAGATACACACTAATGGTTGTAAAAACATACTTTCTACATTTTCTTCTGCCTCCTATATCGTTAACTTTGAAACGCCATGGCAACCATTACTGCATTCACAGATTTATCATCCATCAAACCCTTCAAAACCACTTGGAGAATCCAAGTCAAGATCATTCATTCGTGGAAGCAATACACTCAATACGCTGGAGAGACTTTAGAAATGATTTTAGCTGATTTCGCTTCTACATTTTTTCCATATTGGTTTTCAAGCGTTAACTAATGGTTCTTTTCTCTTTATAGTGTCACGCTACCATGATTCATGCTATTGTTAAGAAGCAGCAAATAAGTTAAGATTGAAGGGAAACTCACGGTCAACATCTTCATCTGTTTCTCCTGCATTACGATTCTCAAAGCCTCGACCACCAAATATATTTCTCATATCTCTATATTAGTAAAAGAGAAGTACAAAAGTGCTTCCGGGTCGGGTTATTAAAAACTTTTACCCGAAATTATGATTTTGGATACTTAGAAATCGGGTAAAAAAACGGGTTTGGATATTACCCAATAATGAGAATATCGACAACTTGAATATTTAGCATCATTAGTTAGGCTATGAAAGTGCATTAATCAACAGCTTAAATGCGAGCCAAAAAATCCCACAATTTTATGTAACTTATACCTAATTATAGAGAATTATATTAAATGAAAATTTTGAAACCTTAACGCTGACTAACATAAAATCATTTTAAGGAAATAATTGTAAATCATAACTTAAGAAAATACTTAAAAACATCTCAATCTTTAAAAGTTATCCTAACAAGGAAACTACTCCAGTCTTTGCGATTTTATCGTGTGCAAATTAATTACTTATTTAAATATGGAAGTATTAATATTTTATATTTCAAATATTATTGTCGAATATTATTTGAACCCTAACTTATAGACGCAGTAAGTTATGCTATATATATATATATCATATGAAGAAATGGTTAATCGTATCATACCTTCCACAGTTTCTTTTATTTTTAGAATTAATCTTTCTTCCGCAATGTCTCTATTACATACAATGATACGATCTAAATTACAAATACATGAAACTAAAAAAACAGTATATTACTGATGAACGCTTCTTCTAAAGAACTCTTCAACACAGAACTCTCAACCCAAAAATAAAAAAGTTCTTCTAAGAAAAACATCGGAAGTAATAAATAATTCAATGGTCGTCCGGTTACTGTCTTTGCTCCATTCTGAATCTTTTTATCATTTGTGTTCCCTGAGTTTTAGATATGGTACTTCTTCTCCCTTACGATATTTTAGTGTTTTACGTTCATGATTCTCGATTTGAATTTGTCTCCATTTGGCTTTAGTACCAGTGATTTGTTTTATTCGGCTACAACTTAAATTTTGCTTAAGAGATGACTGCTCCTCCTGCTACGATTACCTCATTAAACTTCTTTTGATCAGAGACAGCGGTAGGTTTCTTCATCATTTCAGATCGTAATATTTGCCTTTGTTCCTTGCATTTTTTTGTAATCAGTCTATTTCTTTACCTTTTTTTTTTGCTGATAGACTTCAAGTTTTGTTTGAAGGATATGTGAGAGGCTTCTTCTACAGAACTCTTAACATAAATGCAACGTCGAATTTTAAATAAGGTGCCAGGATCTGGATTGTCTTTAGTTTATGATGTTTTTTGGCTTTTCGGATAATATAAAGAAATGGAGGACATTGTTTAGAAGACATAAACAAAAGAGTATCATCCAATCGACAAGAAAACATGATTGAAATCAGCTTTTTATAAAATTTAATATGTACAAATTATTGCTCCATCATTTTACAAACTCCCCTTACAAAGCCCATTTAGCTTAAGTATATATAATCAAAGGCCAAAATAAACTCCTCTATTTATTATATATATACATTAAACTATAATTTCAAAATTAATATTATTGTTATATAAAATTGTAAAAAAGACAAATGTATTATAATTACTTCCTTCTAAAATATGTCTACAAAATCATAAGATCTGTTTTACTTTTACAAACACTATATTTTATGATATTTTAATAATTTTACTTTTACCAATTTACTCCTATTGAAATTTACAAATTCCATTATCAAGCATAAATTTAAATATACACCAAAGTATAATAAAAATAAAAAATAAAAATATTATATTTTGAAATTATTCCCCCGCGCTATAGTATATATAATTCGATAATCACAAAACAATACTTGAAGAAGCCTAACTTTTCATTACTCAACATTTCAAATGTAAAACTATGCGGTGTGTGTTCTCTTAATTATACTATTATAACAGCAAATGAAGTAGACCTCTCAATTTGCGTTTTTTCTTACAGCTATAAAAACTATATAATACAATATACATGTAAATGTAATGAAAATTTTAAAACCGATAATTTTCCCCCGTGCTGTAACGCGGGTCCGAACCTAGTTCCTTTTAACAACTGCAGTTTTTCTCAGCCATGATCTATCTTCTTTTGTCAAGCTAAACAACTTCAACAGCCTCTGAACCTATACATAAAGTTTCCAAAAAGAGTGTCAGACCACATAAGAAAGTAAATCAACCTCTATAATATAGACCAAACAAGGATAATTCGAGACTATAACCATAACAGAGCTTTATATGTTTAGTTTTTACAGGAAAAAATTAAGCACACACCTGAGCTTTGGAGGAAAAGTATACATCATAAATATTCTGTTAGCCACAAAACTTTGTAAGAAAACAAAAACTCAAGGAGGAAAAGTAAGAAAGTGAATCCAAGTACCTGAGCAGGAAACTGTTTCCCAGAATGCGTTAGGCTCAATGTTTATATCACCGTCAGAGGAAGCCTTAAATACACCATGTAGCTCTCAACTCTCGAATTCAAACAAAAACAGCATCATTCCGGCTTTGACATGTTTAACAAATCCGGGTTGCCTCATTAGCAAACTGAAAAGCTCTCGCCTAAGGCACTCCTTTATTGTAAAGTCATTGGACATGAACTAACCATCCTTCATATGTTGAATAGAGAAGATACGAGAAACATCAAAAGACTTGTGGAGCCAAAACAGTAGTGAGCAGATTGATTGATGAACACACAGACAAAAAAAATAAAAAACAGGACATTTAAAAACAAAGCCGTTCATTAAAGAAAAAAGGAAATTGCAACATTGTAAAGGTGGCGACTCTTCAAAGAACACAAGCAAAGCAACTAAAGTGAATAAAGCAAATTTGAATACTGTAAAACAGTAAAACCCCATAATCCAAAAATTAGAAACAGTCATACTTAGAACAACAACAAATTCGACAAGTAAGCAAGAAGAAGAAGAAGATAATGACGCAATTTGAACATTCACACATCATCAAAACAATCAGACATGTAGAAATGATGAAGTCATAGACATTAATCAAAAGAGTATTTTTAATCTAGAAAAAAGCAATGGGACAAATCGGACCTGGATTGAGAAAATCACGTCTTTGGAATTGTTTGGTTTGTCAAAATCGACTTCTACCAAACAAACACAACATGCAAACACCAGAAGAAAGAAACAGACGAGAAGGAAGATGTATCTCACAATTGCAGGTTTTTCTTTAAAAAAAAAGATAAAAGTATATAAATAAATTATGCAATTAAACATAAATCGGGCCAAAACCCAAATAAAGATAAAGTTATGGGCCTCCAATTTGTAGTGCAATGTTTGCATGGGTTTTGTGAATAAGACCATATATGGGTCTATAAGAAATTTAATTATAAACATCAATGTTTATTTGTTAGGAAAAAAAAATAATAAACAAGATCAAATGAACACCTAATAATTTCCAAATAATTAGAGCTATAAAAACATATAAATCACAAATATGCACATGAAATAGCTTTCATAAATCACAAATTCAACGCTGAGTACAAATAGTAGTGAAAATTTTATATTTGCGCCTACTTTAGTTAATAGATCTCAAAACTATATAATACAATATATTTTTTAACCTTGCTCAAACCCGATATACTATTACATGCACATTCTTCAAAAAAGCATACTACAACAATTAATTACAACACCAACAACCCAATATAAAATAATGACATTTAGATTAATACTAAAAGAAAAACCGGTTATTTTCCTCCGCGCTTTAGTCCAACACAAAATATAATAAATCCTATATTATATTAAAATTACAAAAATTTCATCGTAATAATATGATAATTGTTTTCCTCTGTAGCTAAATCATATTTTCTTGGTTTTATCCGTTTAATATAAATTACACAATATTTTAATATTAACTTTTACATTAATATTACAAGTATTATATATAAAAATTAAATTATTTCAACATTTATAAATATTTATATATATATATATATATATATATATATATATATATATATATCTAAACCAATTGTGAATGGGTCCTGTACATTTTATAGCTTTTTGATTATATCTAAACCAAGGTTATATATATGAAATTATTTTTGGTTTTGTTTCGTAGGATGTCTTATGTGGATTAAAAATCTTTATAGTTTTTTTGAGACGAGTCTAGCATGGCGGGTTAACCATTCATTAACATACCAATTTTCAATATCTAAATTAATCATTCAAAACACTTGCTAATCCTGGAAACCTAATCTCTTGCTTTCCTAAATTTATGTAGATCCAACCGCAACTATTTTGTTAAAAAATTCATATTCTATATCACTACGATAAAAACAATTGTTTTATTAAAACATAGCAACTCGATTAATCAACCCTAGCATAATGTCCTAATTTATTGATTATCATTTTAAATTATAAATGTTATTCCGCGGTATACCGCTACTTTTAATTATGATGAGTAAATATCATCAAACCCGGATAACGCTGCGCTTAAAAAACACTTTACGTTATTTAACTAAATCAAATCGAAACTTTTCCCCCGCGCTGTAGCGCGGGTCACAATCTACTTTAAAATAATATAACATTTTAAAATGTGTTAATGAGTTTGAAGTAAATTTTAAATGCATGGTAGAATAATATAACATTTTTGTAATTGTATGTTTTTACTTTTAAAGAAAAATACAAGATTACTAAGTTCAATTTACAACCCTTTAAGACGGAGATATTTGAAAGGTCACACTTTATGTCGTGAAATAATATTAAAAAAATTAAGACATTATCATTAATCTTATAGAATAATAAATAAATAATGATCACATTATTCTTGAATTTTACGGTAAAATATATAGAAAGTGATATATAAGTCGTTAAAAGAGAAGTGATATGTAATTTTTGTAGCATATCTAAAAGATAAAGTCTATAATTAAGAAAGAAAAAGTTATGATATGTTTTGAAAATCAATTCACACTTCAATTTATATTATATGAGTCAATAGAAGGTGAAAAAAAAACTAGATGTCGAGAGGCAACAAATGCATCATAGAACCGAAATGACAAATGAATTGGTAGTTAAAAGCAATTACAAGAAATGACCTATTCTTTTGACATGATATTATATATGTATCTTTACACTAAAACAAATAATGTTTAGAAAAATTCAAGACATACATTATTACATTCAAAGTCAGGCTTAACCGTTAGTTATAGAAAGTGAGATAAAATAGGCGCATACATGACTTGATCGAGAATTCTCTAATACTGCAATGCACTTTCTTTGATGGATAAAGCAAGCTCGCAAAACCTATTCTTTTAACATGATATTATATATGTATCTTTACATTAAATAGTGTTTATGAGGCTATGTATATTCATATTTTATATAGAACGGTGTGATATTCATATAATCATTTAATCAGAAATGAAATCCAATTAGGTCAACACCTGTCGATAATTAACGTGGAATTATTTTAAAGATATGTTTTTATGGATATGAATAAGAAATAAACTATTTTCGTGATAAAGGATCATGAGCTGGTCGTCAATGTCGTTTATTATTCGCGCAAATTTCGCAAATGATCTTTGTTACCCCGTCAACAATATATATGTTGTATATTACTTAAAAAATAAGTTTAATGTTTAATTTCTAAGATTTATCATTTAAAAATTTTGAATAATTATAATTATGCTCAAAGATTTATATTCATATAAAATATTTTAAATGAAAATCTCGCGCAACGCACGGGTACTAAATCTAGTAAAGTAATAATTTATCTCTAAATGACACTTAAAACAAACCTATGGAGTATTATTTACTAAAAAGCACACTGGAAACTTAAATAACATCTTTATGAAATTAAGAATCTATAAATTTTTTCTTTTATAATTCAAAAGAGTATTTTTTTTTAACAATTGGATGCACTTTAATTATTATTTTTATTTTATCAATCTTTATTATATATTTTTTTTACTTAGTAACTAACACAATAATGATAAAATGATAATATGATAAAATTAAAATATAAATTAAATTATTGCTAAAAGAAACAAATTTTTAAAAGAATTAAAAAAATTAAAATATAAAATGATAAGTATGATAAAAATTATAAATTTTAATAATTTTAAAAATAGAAAATATTATTCTGATATGTATATAAACAAAAACTGCTAAAGAATTGATAGAGAATAGAAAAAAATACTATTTTAAAATTGCTAAAGAATTGTACGAATTGTAAAGAATTGTAAGAGAATAAAAGCATACATATATAGTGATAGGAAGAAATCGTGCGCGTGAGATCCACTCGCGGCGATTTCTTTCTCCCTTCTCTTTCATCTTCTGAGCACAACTTCTTGCTTTTCCGATGGGTCCTCCGTCGATCCCGGCGACGATGAGGACTCTATGGCTCATGGTTCTTCAACTACGCAATATGCTGCATCTTCTAAGCTTCACAAACGAATCAAAATCAAGGGAGAAGCGAAGAGGGATAGCTTCTGCGAGACACCGTCGATGACTCCACCGGTGGTGTAGCGCCGCAGAATGGAAAAGGAAGTCTTCACGGCGAAGCATGAGAGAGAAGACGGTTAGATCTGGAACCGGAGATCCTGAAGGCTTCATTAGGTCGCCGCTTGATGGGGGAGGTTGACTCCGGTCGGGTGGAGCTAAGCCACTGTTGACGGTTCCTAGATCTACTCCCTACCGCCTTTCAATCTCACGTCGGAGCTTGAAGCTTTCTCGACACCAACAGCTCAGTTTCTTCCTCTTCCTCAAAGTTTCTCTACGGTGGCGGAGAGGCAAACGGATCTTGGATCACCTCCTCCGTTCGATCCGCGTCGTCCAGGTACACCGGAGGTCCGGTCGGTGTGCATCCGCAGTTGTGGACGGCGGCTGCGACGCGTTTTGCGTTGTATATTAGGGTTTCTGTGGGTACCGGTTAATTTTGGTACTCCAAAACCGGATCGGTTTTGTTTCAGTTTGGTTTAGTTTGGTTAGATGTTGGATTGGGCCCTATGGCTATGGGGTTATTGTATGGGCTTATTCCGGAAATATGTAAGCCCATTGGGCATTATTATTTAAATTTCAAGCCTTTTCAAAAAAAAAAACATACATATATAAAGATTTGCTTTTAAAATTTTAAAACTATTATAATTTTCTTGACATGTGTAGACTTGACACTCGTATATTATGCCTTACATTCTAATTTTTCTTTGCAAGTTTCTATGGTGTCATCGGCCCAAACCCGTCCCTCAATTCAACTTATAAAAGCAACAACAATCATTTTGAAGTTAGAACTGGAAGAATAGAACCAAAACTATTTCCGGAGAGATAAATAAAGCAATGGTATTATGGTAATATCATAACTTTTGGTTGTTATCAATCGTGCACTTGCAGTTATTTAGTAGTTATCTAAGCATACTCTTTTCAGGAACAAGGCAAAATTCACAAGTCTAGATGCATGTTTAAGAATGTCAGTACAAATCAATTGAGGCAAAAGTGGTTGAGTGGGAAAGAGGAGAGCCTTGGTTAATTTCTTCCCACTTTAGATATTGTTTCGTAGTTTTACCTTGGAATGGAGGCTGTAATTTTATATTCTCTCAACAGTGGAACAATTGAACGAGTCACTGAAACAGCTAGAGAAAAAAGAAGCTGTCATGTTTGAGGATTGTACAAAACAATTGAATAAACTAAAAGTGGAGGCTGAAACCAGAAGACGTGAACTTGAATTCAGGAAACAGATGTGGAATCGGTAGTAGTTGTGGTATGTCTTCTTGCGTTTAAACATCTTACAATAGGCCTGGCCAAAATAACCAATAACCGATTAACCGAACCGATTAACCGAATCAGTTCGGTTTCGGTTCGGTTTCGGTTATCTTCAAATAACCGATTGGTTATTATATGTCTCAAAATTCGGGTTCGGTTCGGTTTCGGTTACTAACCGATAACCGAAATAAACCCGAAAAAACCGAATCTATACATATGATATATGATTATATGTTTACCTTATATGTTCAATTGAATAGATGTTTGGTTACTTGGTTGCTTTGGAGGATACAATAGGACTCAACAATCTTTATTTCATGGGAATGGCAAAACTTTGATCCGATCAACTTTGTTTTACTTTTCTCTCACTCTTATCTCGGCTTAAACTTAGATTTTCTTTTGTTTTGTTTTTCAAACTTAGAACTATGTCCTTCTTCTCTTA